CTTCTTCTTCTTCTTCTTCTTCTATTTGAATTTTAATGGCGGTTGGCAAGAAACCCGCACCTTCTCCCAGGATGTCCTTGGTTCTTAAAGGGAGGCCTCAACAGTGATTGGTGGAGCCGGCAATTGATGACCCAATCACGGTAGGCCTCAGGATGTAGGACAGGACGAGCAGGGCAGCACCCACTTCCAGGTGGAGTCAATCTAATTAGCCACTGAAAACAAACAAACAAACACAGAAAAAGGCCACTGGCCGTAACAGATACGTAAAGAAAAGATAAACAATGACAGCGAAACCACTTTACCTGGAGAAGTGACGTACATACTAGCAAATATTTTTTTTTTAATTTTCTTTATTTTTTTAATTTCCTTTATTTAACCAGGTAAACCCCGTTGAGATCCAGATCTCATTTTCAAGAGGGACCTGGGCAGAAGTCTGCAACACACAGCAACCTGGTTACAAAATAGAATTAATTAATACATATGCACAAGTATAAAACCGTATAAAATAATTTAAAAACGGTGACACTATTTAAAAGAATCTCGTTGCCTGTTTTTAAGAATATGCCTACCATCATTCAAAATTAGATGAAAACTGGGGGGAAAAAAATCAGGGTCAGAGTTATTTTAAGTCGTAGTGTTCTTTAAATAAAAAGAGATTATGCTGTTTATTTTACCAAACAATTAGTAGAGTTTGAAATGATTAAAAATGCCTCGTATCATAAATGAGTTGTATGTATTTAAAGTTAGAACACTTATAATTAAGATGCTTTCAATAAGCACAAAATCACAAGTTGCTCATCCTCATTCTGCACACTCAAGTACATAATTATGAGCTCTGTGGATGTTTCTGTGCTGCAGCGCTAAAAGCTCTGCTTTTCTTTCCCTTTCAAATGATGAACACTGCAGTTGTTCATCAGCCCTGTCTCTATTTTGTAGCACACAGACTGAGTTCAGCTCTGACTAAAAGGTCAATTTAGGGATCAAACCGAAGTGGAGTGCCGTTTTGGAACCCCGTTTATAGGTCCATTATCTTTGGTAACATGAAAATTCATTCATATCTTAAAATACAACAAGCAAGTTTGAATAAAAGCACAAATAACTGACTGCTCAAATGATATTTTAAGAATAAATTAGGATTAGGCTTGAAGACATCGTAGAAATCCCGTTTGGTGTTTTGTGCATGGCCTTTCTTATGTGGCATCCAAAGCAGCAGCAAATATTACAAAGAAACTTTGAAAAATCCTTTTGCAACTACACAGTTATGCTTTTATTATTCTTCAAGGCTCTTATACCAGTGCGATGGCAGCGCAGCATAAGGAGCAGCAAGTCTCAGTCAAGGTTCTTTTGCAACAATTCATGCAGTGAATTCCTCCAGTTCAGTGAAAAACTGAAAAAAAGCTTCTGAACAGTATCTTGTTTCTGAACTAAATTGGTCATTATTGTGCTGTAGGTTTTCTCTAAAGAGTTTGTTTAATGTCCATACAGGCCTTTTGTCTCAGCTGGGTCGGAGTGGAGAGAAGCCCTACGCGCCTTTGAATCTGGTAGCAGATTTTGCTGGTGGTAGTCTTACTTGTGCTCTGGGGATCATCTTAGCCCTGCTGGAGCGCACAAAGTCGGGGAAAGGACAGATCATTGACGCTAGCATGGTAAGGAACCCTGTGATTTTTTTTTTAGAACAAGTTTCCATTTATTCATATGACTTCAGTCACTGCTTTATGGAAAAACAAACTTAGCAAACCTTAGAACCACAGTGCAGGTAAGGGGCTGGTTACCAGTGTCATTGTATGAAGATGTTTTAAAAAGTACTTGACAGCAAAGCTGCATGTATTTGTGGTTGAATTTCAGGAAATTCAACCAGAAAGGTGATCAGACATAATAAAGAATCATATATTCTTCAGATGCCTTTTTGGACAAGATGCAGAGCTAATTGTCTCTTTTGTCTCTGTGATGTGATCTGTTGACATCAACAAGCAAAAATGTTTTCTGCCCTGCTGCATGGTGGGACTCTTCTGTCTTGTAAAGTCCCAATTAGCATCGCTGGGTTAAGTTGGACGGCTCATGGTGGAGTTACTTGGAAAAGCCCATCAGAGCCTCATAAGACAGAACATCTTTAAACGAAGCCCAATGGGAGTGAGGTTATGATGCACATTCAATGCAGCTGATGTATTAATGGCTTTAGAAAGAGCCGATTTGAAACAAACATATTGAGCTTCTATGCAAAATAGATTTAATTGATGTATCTATAAGTCAATCACATATTTCGGTTTAATTACAGCATCTGATTCCTTATAATCCACACTTCTTCCAAATTGGGTTGTATTTTATTAAAGCTAAGAGACTAATATACTCCAGGCTTAGTCTGCGGCTCTTATTAGAGTTTCATTGATGCGATAAAATATTTTAATTCATCAGTTTGACTTCTGCCTGAAAATTGATCATAACGGGACCTTAGCTCTTGTTTTCTGAATGCAGATTTCTCTGTGGTGTAGATGTCTGCATGTCGGAAGCACCGATCTTTTACAAAATTCTAGGGAATTGTTTTTGTCAGTGTGTGAAACATTGAAAGATGGGGGGGAAAAAATCTGTAGATGGAACCAGCAGGGTATTGAAACTGCCGAACAGCTGCAATGGAAGATAACAAGGCAAATAAACAGAGCAAAACACCTTTCCTGAAATCTTGTCGGAGAGGAGTCCTTGCAGAAACCCAGCAGTCCACACATAAATGAGACCTCAGAGGGTTGTTGTTGTTGTTGTCCTTGCAAGAGAGACGTTTTGTGCATAGCTGGAAAGCAAAGTTTTCGCCTTCTATAAGACAAAGCGCTTTGTGTTTTGGCTTCTTCAAATTGTTGCTTCGCCTTTACCTTTGGAGGAGGTGGGAGCTGGGATTTGCTAAAGTTCAAACTAGTTCAACAAATTGATGTGAACCTTTCAGGTTCTGCTTCCAATTTGTTCTACAAAGTGGAAACAACACAAATCTGTTGCTTATTGTATTCGGGTCATTGTTATTGACTGATAATCACTTTCAGTTAGGTAAACACAGCTTGTTAAATCATTTAAGACAGCTACCCAATAAAGTGCTTGCTTGAATTCAGACTGGTGCAGGATTGACATTATATGTGACATTGTATATAATAATATAATCAAATTTATTATTTTTTTAAATAATGAAGAAAAAAGAAGTTCCTACTGTAGCTGAATTGATATACAGTAGAGCATTGATTTTTACCAGCTGCAGCTCTAAAACTGCACGTCGTTAATAAGAAACGATGAATGCTGTTCTTTTATTTGCTTTAACTTCACTGACTGTGTTTTTTAAAAAGCTAAACAACCTAAAATCTTAAGAGCCTTCTTTCAGCAAGCTGATCAGCAGTGCTAAGCAATAGGAAAAATCAGGGGCAGAAAATGTTGTAACTCTGACACTTTCTCTGATATCTCATTAAAAGGACTTTACATTTTGTTTTGTTTTTTTTAAACTATATCTTTTTTTAAACTTAGGTATGCGTTGATAGCGACTCATGCCTTCAATCTTATTTGAAGTGTGAAAGCAGAAGCAATTGATTCAATGTTATTTTAAACCTTATAGCTAACCAACCCCACCCCGAATAGAAACTTTTCAGATGTGATGCAGTTAGAAGTGCTTTCTAGTACCTTCAGTTTGCTTTATATTATAATGTCGCTGCTTTTAAGTGTGCTTCGGCTCGAAGTGGGCCCAAGTGCAAAGCCGTCTCTAAAGCTATGCCATTAAAGCGTGCAGTAAGAGGAGTCTAATGTTTTTCCTGTTAGACCTAAATGCAGCCAAGTGAAGAGGCTGGCAGCCAGCAAGGATGTACCATCCGGGCATAAATGAGCAGGGCTGTCGTCTATTCATCCACTTCACGTCTCTGTCAGGTAATTTTCAGACGAGGCACCGTTTGCGAAGCCTTTCGGGCTGATGTGGTGCAGTTCTCTGTGTAAAACAGACGAGAGCGGAACAAACTGCAGTGATTCAGGTGACAGGATGAGATTTAGCTGGAAGGTTTGTCAGCTGATGGACTGAATCATTGTGGATATGTGGGCAGCTCTGTCAGAGAGGGGGCTGTGTTGCTGAGAATGTAGTTACAGAAGATCGTATTAATTTATTTTCTTGAAATGAGCAGTGAAAATTGAAGTGCATGGAGAACACGCGGGAGAGGCTTTTTATTTTCATTCATTATTGTCTCATTTTCAGGATTTTTTGTGTGTGTGTGTGTGTGTGTGTGTGTGTGTGTGTGTGTGTGTGTGTGTGCTTTGAGTATTGAATTGAACCTAAAATGGGCTAAGTGGGTCAGTGCTGAGTGTGGGAAGTGTTTACTCAAGAGATCAGAAAGTTGTTTTAATGTATAAAGCTTTTGCAGCCTTTATCTTTAACAAATTTCCACATTTTTCTGCGCCCTTGTTTATTTTTGACTTTTTGCCATTTAAGTTAATATTCCTACTTTTTGTTCCCAAGGGTTTATTGTATTAAATATATTTAATTTTTTATTTTTTTGAATCACATTCGAAGAGATATCAAAAGTGTGTGTGTGTTAGGAACTTATTCATTGTTATGTTCCTGTTAACACTTGGCTGTAATGATAAAGCCTTTGCATATTTACCAACCCTAATCCTGTGTAAATGATGCTTTCTATAAATAAAAGGGAAAGTCATAGAATAATTTACTTTTTTTTTTTTTTACGTTGCACTGTTCAACATGTAGGACAATTACCTGGTTCTTGTGCCCCTATTACACCATCTATCAGCAAAATAGACATTTAAACATATCAGGCAGACTGGAAGTGTCCCAAATGACTATTGGGTCATGTTGTTGTTATTGTCAGAAAAACATAGCAGGAGACACCATCTGCTAAAGCTGATATTTGGTTCCTACCAGCATTAAATTAACAAGTTGTTTTACTACTTCAACTTCTAAAACACTTGGGGACTGAGGAACATTGAAAAAAAAAAAAAAGATTTGAAACTGAGATTAAAATTTAATTCAGTTTGTGAAGACACAAACTGAATTTTTGTGAAAAAGCAAGCACTAAAACCACAATAAATCAACTGGATAAACCTTAGCTGAATCATTTTGCGCTCATCCCACATTCTTTAAAACACACACATACACACGCACACACTTTATATACTATTTCTTTAAATTTTATTTCAATTAAAAAGAAAACATGGAATTCTTTGTTTTTCCAACATCTTTGTCAAACTCTTATTGTCTCCTTCTCACAAGCTCAGCTAAGTGTCTTATGTTATTTATTGTTTTTTTTATATATATATCGTTTCTGTGTGTTTATTGTATTCAGCAGCTTGGGTTATTTTACTTATTTATTTTTTACAATAATCTCTACTAGCTGCAGAGCTACTTTGCTCGTTTCTACAGCTCCTGTATGTCACTGATTGAAATGCGGCTTTAACAGATTTCTAGTAATAAATTTGCAGTCAGATTTCTAGTTATGCAACGTCTTTCCTCTGGCATTTTCAGTCTAATCTGTTTTCTAGCTCAGATGTTCTGAATGATGGTCCTCAGGGCCCACTTTCTGCATGTTTTAGGTCTTTCACCGCAGCCACACACCGGACTTAAATGAATTTGTGATTAATAGGCATCCGTGAACATTCTGGAGAAGGTAATGCAATAATTTAAATTATGTACGGAGGATGGAGAGCCCTGAGGAGCAGGATTAAGGAGAACCTTCTGAAAGCGGCCGTAGGAAAGTCCTTCACGCTAACGCTAATTTGACTTTCTAAAAGATCAACTTCGCTCCGCTCCAACAAATCATTCCTGGGTTTGAGTTGTTGTCAGTGGGGTATAGACACTGTCCTGGTTTAAAAAAAAAAAAAAAAAGAAAAACGTAGTTTTTACGTGAACAAAAACTTTGGTCCATCTGCAGAAAAAAAAAAGAAAAAAGGCTAAATCCATATTGGACTCTCCAGAGAGGCCTCAAACTGAATGTTTTTTGTTTTTTTCCTCAGCCTTTGGAGTCCCCTAGCTCAAAGATAATCATAAATCACTGAGCAGACCACCGCAAAAGAACTGTGCATACAAATCAGTCCCAGAATCTTACAGTACCAGAGGCTGTTTGAAGCAAGGAGATGCAGAAATCCCAGACACTCTTAGGACACTTTCCAAAGCCTGATTTTTTTATGTAAATCTAAAATGCCAAAGGTTTCCCTCTTGGTACTTCTCCTTCTTTGTGGGGTGCAGAAGATAAAAAAAGGAAAGGTGACCTTTCCAGCTCAATTGTTGAGTTAAAGATTAAATTTAACCAGGGATGTGGCTCCACTGGGGTTTTAGCAGAAGCGGAGATTTAGAGCGATGGTGTCAAAACTGTTAATTTGTTTAAGCAAAGTTTAATTTTTTGGGACATTTAGTAGGGCTCTAATTTAAACTTCACCTACAGGCTGTCAGTGAGGAGAGAAGCGATGGGATTATGGATGCAGACATATGCTCCTAGGATTTTACAGATTCAGGCTCTGGCCACTTTATTAGGTACAACAGGAAGAAGAAGTTTTAGAGCACATCACACACTTTTGTTAGGGTAATGATGTGGATATTGGATTTAAAATGAACACATACACTCTTTCGTTGCATATGAAAGAGCGTATACGCTTCACTTGTTCTGAAGTGCAGTTATTAGATTTT